TTTATTAAGAATGACATTAAACACTTTTAAATAACATCCGTTAAACATTGAATATCCTTTAAATAAGGATATTATTAAACATTATTTAAATATCTTTTAAATAACAATTTTGTGGTTGGGTATGGGGGCACACACCAGTAATCTCAACATTTGGTAGACTGAAGTAGGAGGATCAGTTTAAGGTAACCCTCAGCTACATACCAAGGTTGAGGCCAGCCTGAGCTACATGAGTACCTAGTCTTAAAAACAAGAACAAAAAGTCAAAACAACAACAAACAAATAATTTTACTTTAGCATGTACCTTATTCTAGAAGTTATTATTCCCAATATTCTAACCTGTTTGAGAAGCTGTTTGCATTGTACTGGGCAAAGCGTTTGGTAACAGACCTCCTGAAGGTATAAGGCTGCCACTCAGGTTTATTCCTGCAGGAGTTATGGCACCAGTGTTACAGCTCAGCATGGGATTTGAGCCACTCATCAAAGCCTGGGCTCCACTGCAGGAGAAGGAGTTAGAACATTAAATTTATACCATAAAAGGAAATATTTGCTACATAATTCTTCAGGTTAAAAACATATAAAAAGAACTCCATTATAGTTCTGTCTCAAAAATTAATTTCTAGTACAGATGAGATGGCTCAGAAGGTAAGGGCACTTGCCACCAAGCCTGATGATCATCTGACTTCAATCCCTGGAGCCCATATGTTAGAAGGAAAGCACCGACTCCTCCAAGTTGTCCTCTGACTTCCACGAGCACTATGGCATGCTAATGCCCCTCTCAGCCTCCAGAAAATAAAAGTGATCTTTTTTTTTTTCAAAGTAAAGTCAATTTCTAGGCCAAGTATTTTAGTTTTTGAAGTTGACAAGGTTAGCTGAAACCAATGAGTATTTTAAAATATTTTTAAAATTTTAAAATATTTTAAAATACTTTTGAAAAGTAAAGCACTATACAAGTGATGGCAGCAAAGGACAAGAAAGAAAATCTAGGCAACTATCAATATATTTCAAAAAGTCTTTTTTTTAAAAAAAATTTTATTTATTATTTTTATTTTATGTGTATGAGTGTATTGCCTGCATGTATGTGAGGGTACCCATGTTGTGCAATGCTACAGAGGTCAGAAAAGGCCATCAGATTCCCCTGGAACTGGAGTTAAGGACGGCTCGTAGTTGCCATGTGGGTGCTGGGAATTGAACCTCGATCTTCTGTAAGAGCATCCAGTGCTCTTAACCACTGAGCCATCTCTCCAGCCCTGAAATAGTCTTTCTTTTTTTTTTTAAAAAAATTTTATTATTTTTATTTAATGTGTATGCATGTACTGTCTGCATGTATATAAGTGCACCTGTGTTGTGCAATGCCCATGGAGGACAGAAGAGGCTGTTGGATCCCCTAGAACTGGAGTTACAGACAGTTGCTAGCTGCCATGTGGATGCTGGGATTCGAACCCGGGTCTTCTGCAAGAACAGTAGTGTTCTTAAGTGCTGAGCCATCTCCCCAGCACCCAATATGAAATAGTCTTAATACAAGTAATAGAAAATCACTAAAATTAAACCATTTATGTGAAACAGATACAGTCCATCATACCTACTGTTCTGTGGTATAATACATAGTTTATTCTTCCTTTCATAAAACTAAAAAAATAAAAAATTTAAAAAAGATCAAGATATCAATGTGAACTTACCAAACAGAACTCACTACATTGATGAAGTTAAGTCCAGCAGAGTTTGCCATGACCTGGGTGGCTGTGGTTCCTGTAGTTATAGATGTTACCATGGTAGAAAGAGGAATGGTTGTTACAGGCATTGCCTGGCTCAGAGACCTTTGCTGCTGAGCAAACTGAGTTAACAAAGTGGGTTGAGGGGTGAAGCCTGAATCTTGGGGAGTTGGGGTGGCTGAAGGGGTACTAGGAGTTGAGCTCTGAGCATCAGGAGGGTGTGGGGCCGATGAAAGGGTTGGTGTAGGAGTAGATGGCTTAGGAGTTCCAGATCCTGCTCATTGAGAAAAATAAAAATTGCTAGTTTGTTATAAATGGCCAGTCCTTTTAAAAATAAGGTTAATGGAATCTTACTTAGCACTGACAAATTTGTTCCAGTTTTTTTTTTAAAGCAGTTAACTGCAAGTGTTACTCTCTATACAATACATGAGTGTCGCTACACTCAATTACAATTAAGGATGCAGTATATCACCTAAAAACCCCATTAGAGATGCTATTATAGTAACAATAAAAATAGACATTTGTATTCTACCATAACACCCACTTAGAAGTTAGTTTCCTACATGCTGCCTTTAGCCTACACAGTTGAAAAGGAATTTAAGTTAATTTTTGTTATTTGCGATTTCACTAATCCAAGATTAAAAAAAAATACTGCTTCTGCTTATTTAGTGTAACAGTCTGCGATAAGCTGTGAACATACTTAGTAAGTTACATAAGGTTAACAATTTTTGGCACCTATGTTAAATTCCTACCACATCAAGTTTATCCTGACAAATTTATAAGGAATAATAAAGCAATTATTTTATAGATAATACTGCATCTTTAACAGTAACTGTGTACTTCTGTTTAAATGTAGAATGTATAGAAAATCTGTTGTGAATGAAGTATGCACAGTTTTATCAACTTAAAAAAAAAATCAAAAACAAAAAGTAAAATAAAAAAAATAAAACCAAAAGCTCTTGAGGTGTTTTCTTTTTTAGCTTTCATGTCCTGCAGAAAGAAAGGAAAGAAATGTGAATGTCCAGAAGCTGTCACTCCACCCTGACTTAAAGCAACAACTGTGTGCAGTAGATCACCACAATCCATACCCACAACATAAGAAGTGTGAATAAGACTTTCAGAAAATTTATGTATTTTTCTTTGTGCAAAACAAGAAGGCAGAAAAATTACACCTTTTGAGCTATCAAGATGAAGATGTTTATATCTAATTCGAAGACCGTCCTATCACTGTGCAGGGTACTGAAGCTTTCAGCACACACTAGCTACCTATAAAAAAATCTAAAAAACTGGAATTTTCTTCCCAAATTAGTAAAATACTCAGGTATTAATTTGAAGAAATTCTCTCAAATTAATCTAGCATTCTTATATTACCTCTACTTTAAAAAAGCATCCAGAAGTAAAAATTATATTTTACTATCTTTGGATCATTACATTTTAGTAAATAACTTATAGAAGAGTGTAGGAATGTTTTAAAATATTGTTTTCAGTTTATTATATTACCAGCTTGGCACTAGTTCGTTTCCTATACATATAAAGATACGATCTTCAATAATTACTCTTATGACATTTTTCACAACAGCCATATAATTTATATACTATGTAAAATGACCCTATGGTAAACTGCAAAAATAATTTTGGAATATTATTACCAGATTATTATTATTATTATTATTACTATTTTGGTCTTTTTGAGACAGGGTCTCCCTGTAGCCCCAGCTGTCTTGGAACTCACTATGTAGGCCAGGCTGGCCTTGAACTCAGAGATCAGCCTACCTCTGCCTCCCGGGCGCTGGGATTAAAGGTGTGCGCCACCACGCCCAGCCGACCAGATTAATTTTTAAGGAGGTATAGGCTATAAGCCTAAATACACAGAGTGTATACACAGATACAGAAAAACAAATACAATTACAACACATAATACATACGAATCAACAAGAACTCTGCCTGAAGCGTCTTGCAAATTATACATTTTGAATACACAGTACATTTAGATTTCACTATTCATGGATTGAATAAAAGCTGTTTTAAGAGACACTAATGCAAAAGCTTTTGAAAATTTAAGTAAGAGTTTAAATTATGACTCACTTTGTGATGAGCTGGCAGGTGACAGGGCAGCAGGAGAAAGCATGCTAACTTGATTGAGATCCATGGATGATTTCCGAGAAAGACTTGGCTTAGAAGATGGAGGAGGAGTTGGAGATTTAAGAAAGCTGCTAGCCTGTTGTGGTGTAAAATAGTTACCTAAAAGAAGAATAAAAGTTAGCTCCTAGGCTGAGGAGATGGCTCAGCAGTTCTAAGAGCATATGTCACACCATCATAAGGATCAGAACTCAGATCCCAGAATGTACCTAATAAACCAGGTATCTTTCTTTTTTCTGTCTTTTTGAGACAGGGTCTCCCTGTAGCCACAGCTAGCCTGGATTCACTATGAAGACCAGGCTGGCCTCAAACTCTCAGAGACATCCACCTGCCTGTCTCCCAGTACTGGGATTAAAGGTGTGCACCACCACACCTGGCACCAGATACCTTTCTAACGCCACATGTAAAAGGCATGCACATGTGAGCATACACTCCATGGACACACACAAATACATAAAAATAAGTTATTTCTGGGGCTGGAGAGATGGCTCAGTGGTTAATAGTATATGCTATTCTTCCTGAGGATCTGAGTTCAACTCCCAGCACCCACACCAGGCAGCTCACAACTACCACTAACTCCAGCTCTAGAGGGATGGTATCGCTGGCCTCAGGGCACCTGCAGTCTCATGCACACATGCACACACAGACCAACACACATATAGACAATTTTTAAGAAAGTTATTTCCTAGACTCATAATTCAAATTCTGTGACATATCACAATAAAAATGAGTCAAGTTTTTAAAAAGAGTTGATTGTGTGATGTTTCTTATTGAAAATTGAGGACTGATTTAATACCTGAGGAGCTATTTCCTGAGCTTGAGGGAAGTTTGATGGGTGGGGGTCGATGTTTTATTCCCTTTCCCAAAACTGAAGACTGAACTGATGTGGTCTCAGGCTGCTGAAGAGTAATAGTAAACATACTAGTTAAGATTAAATACCATTATAATTGCTAGAAAAAAACAACATAACTGTAAAGTACTCTGAGTGGTTGGTAAGTGTGAATATCAGAGCTTTTACAAAGGAACAAAGCTTCACATGACATTCATAAAATATAACATGAGTAATAAGGTGTGAGAGTCCGAGGAAGAGCCAAGGATGGAGAAAAACCTTCCACCCATTTCTACCTATCTTCCACAGGAAAATAACTGCTCATGTCAGATGACCAACACCCAGGTATTCATTCTACATGTATTTATCTTTAAGCACTTTTGAAATTTTCAGTCATAAAGCTGAATAATAAAAAAGTAAAATCAAAAGTACAATTCTCTTGCCTTTCAAAATGTGACCCTTAGCATTTCTCGGATTCTTTGAGAAACAAGGTACACAAAAAGTAGTAACAATGAAACATACTTCTGTTTCTTTTCCTGGAGAAGGCTGACTTAGACTGGCTGAACCACTAGAACTGTGTGACATCTTCACTGGACATTTGGCTTCATTCTGGACCAGTTCCTGGTACTGATTAACTACCCTGAAATATCAGGGGGAAAAAAAAAAAGCAAGGATTGGTTAATCTTGTCTTAAAAAAATATTTATTTTATGTGTATGAGAATTTTGCAAGCATATATATGTGTACCCAGGTTGTGCAATATCTGTGTAGGCCAGAAGAGAGCGCTGGATCACCTGGAAATGGAGTTACAGTTATCAGATATCATACAGGTGCTGGGAACTGAACCTAAGTCCTCTGCAAGAACAGTCAGTTCTCTTAACCTCTGAGCCATTGCTCAAGCCCCTGTTAACCTGGTCTTAAAGAAAATCATATAGGAAATAAGTAATGGTATTACTAGAAAAGTAAGTTCTGCCAGATTTAACATCTAAATCAACTACCATCTATAACCCAGTTCCAGGGAATCCAACACCTTCTGGCCTCTGTGGGCCCTGGACCTATTCACAGGTGCATTTATATATATGCAGGTAAAACACTCCTATACATTTAAAAAAAAGTGCATTCTGGGCCACCGAGATGGCTCAGCAGATAAAGGTACTTGTTACCAAGCCTAACAACCTGAGTTTGCTCCCTGGATCCACAAGGAAGAAGAGAACCAATTCTAGGAAGTTGTCCTCTGGCCAACAAACATGGGCACACATGTACAAATAAAATAAATAAATGTAATAAAAAAAGACTATTCTTCTAATCTTTTCAAAAGACAAAGTCATGCTTAAAA